TGGGTTCAAATCCCATTTGTACCATTTACTAATTATGTGATTTCGAACAGGTGATCTAAGCGAAAAATGGGGATAATATTGGCATGTAACTCATAGAGTTATCAGGTTAGGTTTACACATAGAAAGAGTTTAGAACAGAGATTTTCAACCTTTTTAATCTCCTGGCACACATCAACTAATTACTAAAATTCTGTGGCACACCAAAAAATATATTTTTTGCTGATCTGACATAAAACAAACCGGGTATAATTTTGATTCAGTCACACTGGACGACTATTGTTGTGTTGGCCGTGGTCATTTTTTTTTTTAATTTGACGATCTAAGGGAAAAGAAGTCAGTGCCCCTGACTAAATAGTCAGGCATTTCATGTTGTAAAAATTCTTGCGGCACCTCGACTAAAAACCACTGGTTTAGAAGATCACCTGGTAGAAACTGAGCACTGAAATAATAGGCTATTGCCATAATTACCACTCTACATCCTGACCTAGTGTGTGGCGTCTTTCACTCTGCACAGCAAAGAAGAAATCTTCCTCTTTCCGAAATTGTCTTATCACGGTGCAGCATACATAGTTCTTTTTCCCACATTTGCATTTTTAATGAACTCACCTTCGATTTTTTTCTTTTATACGCCTTTATAATTATAATTGGAATCGAATGATAAATAGTAAAACTCACAAAGTTCAGTTTCAGGTAGAAGTCTGGCTGGATAAGTAACAAGTAAGTGTGTTTGGCTGAGGGTCCATTTTATGTTATTAATCTATCAAAACTGCATGTACTTTGCTGTTGGTTCATTAACTCATATACTGGACAGTTTTATGAAACAGCATTTTTGTGTTCTATTTGGTGGTGTATAACCTTGTGTTTTATTTTGTGTGACTTATCAGAATACATTATGGATCATAATAGGTAGAGGGATATACTACTTATTAGTCTTATTGATTAATTTTCATTAAAGCCCATTTAATACAGGGACCACAGGTTATCCTAACTGGGACACCAGAAAAGGGACACTTCTAATGATTATGGAGGATAGCAGCTCTGAACCAGGACTATCCCAGATGGTGAAAAATAACTTTAAAAATAGGGAATGGAGATGTAATGCACAGCGCAGTGATGATAGACAACAATACTGTGTCATCTCCTTCCAAGCTGCTAAGAGACTAGATCTTAAATGTTCTCACCACAAAAAAGAAAATGTAATCATGTAGTGCGATGGAGATGTTAGCTAAGGTTACAGTGGTAATCATATTGCAATATATAAATGTATCAAATCAACAGGGTGTATTCCTTAAATTTACACAATGTTATATGTCAATTATCTCAAAAAATAAAAATTTTAAAAATTAAGTAAAGAGAATACAATAAAAATGGATAAAAGCTCGACTCATACAAATATAAAAAGAACACATGTCAAAGATTTCATTTAACCCACTAGTTAATAAGGGAATGAGTAAAAAGTTATGACAGGCTCCAAGGAGAATACTGAGAGCTGCATCTTTATAGTCAAGGGTTGCTCAATGAATTGACAGGCAGATGCAAAGCTAGTCAGTATCCACTGGACAGTAATCAGTTGCATTCCAGTGGACACAATTTGCATTTCTATGGACAAACTATCATTTGCATTACTATCCATTTTCTTTAGTGTTCCAGTTTCAGATAGCTCAAAAACAATTTTAACTTCACAGGACACACACTTAATTTTTTGTCCATGTCAGAAGCCTTCACCGTTTTCCCTACACAAGCAAAAGTGGCCTGGCTGGGCACCCTAGTTAATGTCACAGATTCTCATTACTGTTGCTTCCTATGATTTTGGATTTAGCTGCTAATTGCTGCTTTGTTAGGTTTTACATTTTTTTGTTTTATTCTGTGTCTGTTCCCTCTTAAAAAGAGGATTTTTATAACAGAATTACACTTTAATTTTACAGTTTATCAAGCTGTGTAATATTAAGTCCCATTCCTCTCTCCTATTTGAGATTGGCCAGAACCTAACCTGTTGTATTTGGGGAGGAAAAATGCTACTTATGTTTCTGTTTGGTTGCCTACTCTGGACTGACTGGCAGCATTTTGGCTCCATGAGCTGAGCAATCTGCAGCTGTTCAAATACTTTGAGCCTATGGGTGGATTGTGGATTTTGTTTTAAAATCCTCCCCCCACTTAAAAAAAAAATTTAAAAAGAAAGAAAGAAAAATCCAACAGCCAACTGCGTCTACTACTGTTTTTTTGTAGCTGTTGTTTGGTAAGCCGCAGTTATACGTTTGCAACCAGAGGCTGTGTTTATTTTCAGTGTTGGCAGTTCCGCCTAATGAATCAACTGGTATTGAATTCACAAAGGGGGATGCCTTTTCCCTCCCTCCATCTGTTTGCCAAATGTGTGTGCTCCCTGAGCTCCTACTACTGGTTTCACTAAAAAGAGCTATTAGCAAGCCTTGTTCTCACTGAATTCTCAGGCCACTGCCTGTCTGCACAGAGGTGTTTTCCTCTCATGGTTCCATAGGGGTTGCTGGCCAAAGCACCCACTAGAGAAAGTGTAATTATTTACATTTGTTGCTTAAGTATAAAGTGTGGCTCTGCATTACTCATAGCTTTGTCTGGTTCTTGAGCCTTGGCTTGGTCCTTCAGGATGGGTTGTCTGTCTCTGGACTGTAGTGTTGCCATGGGGATTGAAATTAATCACATGAAGAGACGAGATCAAGTGAATGCTGGTAGACTGTCGGAGAAGCCCATGATAAAATTGTTGGAATTACTCTCTATTTTCAGCAAATCCTTCTTTAATTCTTTGTGATGGTAGGGAAGCAGTTGTTTTATTAGCAAAATTTGGAGGTGTTTTTCTTTATTTTGTTATTTTTTTTGGTTTTCATTTTCAGTCATGCTATAGGAGCTTTTTAGGTCAGTGCTTCTCAAACTTCAATGTGCACATGAATCACCTGCGATTTTGTTAAGACAAGGATTCTGATTCAGCAGGAGTCCAAGGTTCTGCATTTCTGTCCAGCTCTGGGCCATACTGTCAGTAGTGAGGACCTTAGGTGAATCAACTCCAGTACTTACTTTGTGGTTTTGGAGCAATTTAGATAGTAAGTGGCTAGAGTGGTTTTGTTGGTGTTCAGTAGCAGAACACGAAGTGGAAGTATTTGCCTCTGCATTAGTGTCAAGAACCAGGTAAGGAGCCAGATGACTTTCCAACTCTTCCAGTACATATCTTCACATTGTAGGTATGAGATTTTATTTGAGATTTTGGAATTTCCAGTATATTCTACAAAGTCAATTTCAAAGCTAATATTTTTCAAAGCAAATCATGAGTAATGTGGGGGTTCTGTTACCTGTGTGCACGTGACAGCAACTGCATCCTTTCCCAGTGACATGCCCCACCTCTTGATATATTACACAGGTTTCAAAAACAATTGCTCTTAAATGCAATTGTATGAATATTTTAATATATCTCTCTCTCGTGCCCTGTGCCATTTCACCTAGCTTACTAAACAGTTATAAGAACTGAGTGTTATCCAGGAAGTCTTTGGAGCACTATAAAATGTTATTACTCTATTCTGACCCAGATAAGGGACAGTAAACTATTTTTAAATATAAGGCCATTGGCCCATTGAAGCTAAGAGCTAATCAGCTCACATGCACACTCAAAGGACCCAATTTAAGCATTACATTGATCTCTTTTACCATCTCATTCCCCGAAGACTTCTAATTCTTTGTTGGTTTTCGAATTTATAGAAAAAGAGAAAACATGAACCTCTCTTTTAAAGTGAAGAATAGGGATCATGAGAAAAAAGTGTTCAATATCTATACTTTAAAAAAACCCAGTACTGGTTAGCTGAGGGAGGCCGAGCGAGGGAGGGTGGTGAAGTCAAATTGGCAAAAGAGAGACACATACCTAAGGGGAGTGGGGACTCCAGATACCGAGGGTGTCTGGGAAGGAAGCATCTTTCGTTCTGCCTTCATGGGTTCAGTTTCTGAGGGCCTGTGAATTAAACAGGAAAGACAGGTTAGCAAGAGAAAAGAAAGTGTTCACTCCTGCGTGCAGTGCACGTGCCTGCAGGAAGGCCCAGTGGTAGGTCACTCAAAGGGGGGCTAGAATTTGGGGCTTGTACACTTAACGGAGAAGGGGAGAGGGATGGGAGAACAGGCTCCTGTGAGAAAACCTGATAGGTTTCTTTAGGAAAGACTATTTTTCTTTTTAAAGAGAACAAAATGAAAAAAGAAAGTTTGTGATGATGCCTGTTTATGCAGGTGCGGGTGGTTTTTCTGCCTTCAGGCCCATGAAACTCCCCATCGGAGAGGGGGTTTATGGCAGCCTCATTTCCCAGGAGCTGCTGCTTTTAGTCAGATAAAGGGAGCTGTGAGAAGGTTTCTTTCTACCTCTGTTGAACTGCAAAAGTCTGTGGCTTAAAATAACTCTTATCCCAACACTAGGGTTCTGAGTGGGTCCCTGCAGAGGAAAGGAGAAAATGTATACAGAGGAAGGAGAGACTCAGGTTGAAGGCGAGGGAGGCTCAGTCGATTGTGATCCGATGCTATTCAGAGTTAAACTCTTCATTCCTCTGTTCTTCGGGAATTTGGTTAGGAATCCTAAAGTTTAAAGACTCTTCACAGCACTGCTGCTCTTGGAGGATTTGTTCTGAATGAGAACCTACATCTTCCTAACACAACTAGAATGACTCTGGAGCCTCTACTGACCTGGCTTTATCAAGCCTGAGGCCCCAGTGTCCACGACAGCCTCACTTTATATCTAAGTTTTAATTTTTAGTTGTAATTCTTTTTGAAATAAAACAAAATTTTTCTTCTACATTTTCACAATATAATTGCCCAGATAAAAATGTGTTGTTGTTGTTCAAATATTAGGTGATAATTAGGCACCAGGTTTCTGAGTGATCCATCATGGGGATATTTTGCATGTATTTTTAAAATTTGAATAAATTTCTACTTGTGTATTTTCTGTGTAACGTATTATTTGTATGTTGTTTTATTTAAATTTATTACCTTTTTTCCCCCAGCCATCAGACACAGACAACCTGTTGGGATCATCCTAAAATGACCGAACTCTTTCAATCCCTTGGTGAGTATTGTTTTATTTAATAGTGATGAGTTAACTTAAACTGAAAAGGGCATATTCTTGAATGAAAACTAATCACCAGCTTTTTTCTACATGGCACATTATGTTTACAGGATCATTACAGTGACATATAAAAGCAGTTGAATTTCTAAGGGCAATAAAGTAAACAGGTTTTACCTTTCTTCTTAAAAGAGAATGTAAAGTTTGAAATAGCATAATCCCAAAAAGCATGATTTTAAAAGGAGGAATATAATTGGAGGTTTTACCTCCCTCATATTGGGTCATCTTAATCTCCAATTTTGTGTGAAAACAGAAACAAAAACAGTTACATTACAGCAACCTCTAATCCACTGCTTTTACATTTGTTTTTAGCTCACTCTTTGTTTAATAAACCTTATTAAATTAGCTAGCTTAATTTTATTTCTCCTAAGTTGAGATGAAGAGCTAAATTCATTTTAATATAAAAATGCAAGAAAACTCGTGAGATAAGAATTTTGACCTTGTAGATTTCAGGTAGAATATGACTTTGATGATATATATATCCTGCTTCCTTGGTTGGTCCAGTCGTTTTGAAAGAGTTTTCTCTTTGGGGAACAGAGGGGCTGCTGCAGAGGGAAGGGTATTTTCCTAAGATTCCCATGCCCACTCCAATTTTAACAAGTGGGGAGCACAGCACCCCTTTTATTGGCGGGGAGAACTCCTTGTTTCCACCAGTTGCTAGTGGGAGTGGGTTTCTTGTGATACTCTGAGAAAAGGAGTTTTCTGAGACTCGCAAGGAAGATGAAATATTGTAAAAAGCTTTATTTCTGTGGGATTACACCCCTGGGTCTCCAGGGTCCATTTCCCTCTGTCCTGCCATAGAAGAAGTATAGCTATGGCTTCAGCAGAGCTAGGATGAAAGCTGTTTCCCAGAGTTTTTGCTCCCTATTTTCACAGTCCCATCCAGCATCAGGCTAGTTTAGTTTGTGTTCCCCGCTGTAGTCCATCAGTCCATGGCATGTGGGGTCCGTATGGCCACATGGCTATGGAGGGAACATGGGCAGGAGCAAAGCTAAAGGAACCAGAGAGCCAAGAGAAAGTGTGAACTCCTTTGTTTTGGGAATTATGTAGTCCTAAGTTTTCTCAGGCTTGTAGTGGCCCCACCCTCTCTGTTCCCAGGTTTGACTGACAGGCACCTTCTCTCTGTCACCCCACATTCACTGCACATGTGTTCATCTTCCCCTTTGTGCAGTCCCTTCCCCCAGTAATCTGCAGGGAATGGACCAGTGGTTCCCTGGGGAGTGTAAAGTTGCATCTTCCTGGTGAAGCTGCCCAAATGACATGCCTAAAATGTCTGGCCTCCCTTTTGCCCCTTTCCTATTATTAATAACTAGCTCATTACAGTGGTTTCACCCCTTTTTATCTCTTTAAATATCAGGCTCCTATGTGGATATTCATTTGGGTGAGTGTGGATGGCTTCAAAGATTGAACAAGTGAGAGAAAAGCCACTGGTTTGTTTAGTTAGCAAAAGGAGAGGGTAAATTTTGATGGTTTCTGAATTTTCTTCTAACTCCATTCTTCTCTAATACTGATACTCTGTCTTTAGGGGACAGAGAAAGAAATTGCAGTATTTGTTACTTCCAAAGGTTTGAATATTGACTGTAGGATAATTTTGACCAGATCTATGAAAGGGCAGGAGAAGCAAATAGATCTGAATGGAGGAATATAGAAATAAGACTCGCTTTCTAGGTAGGGAGATGGACGGCCAGGCTGGCAGAACTGTCCTTGGGGAAAATGCCCCAGGGGGAGAGTTCCTCCCAGCTGTTCAGAGGAAGGGCCCTCTACAATGCCAGGTGTTTATTAAGCCCTTGAAAACTCACAGGCTGGGTGTGTTTCCTTTCCCTCATTTCCTTCCTTTTCCTTTCTTGGAATTTTCTGTTCACTGCTTTGGAATATATCTCACCACAGTGCTAATGAACATTTAATTATTTCCTTAAATAAGGGCTATGGATTTTAGGAGAAAACTTTTTAATGTGAATACACATCTGAAGTAAACAAATACCTTCTTGCCATGTAATATAAATTAAGTAATCAGCATGCTTTTTAATGTGTTCCCTTTTCCTTTACAGCTGACCTGAATAATGTACGTTTCTCGGCCTACCGTACGGCCATCAAAATCCGAAGACTACAGAAAGCACTGTGTTGTGAGTCATTTTACCAAAGCTAATCACTATGTTCTTTGAGTTGCCTATTTTTTTTTTTTTTAGACAAAGATAAATGAAGAGGGTGATGTGTTTGTAGAGTTAATCTGATTTTCAGCGTGACTTACTCAAGGAGTTAGCTGTGATTCTATAAATGCTCTATTATTTGCCCCATGAGCATGAACACAGTCATAAACAAATGAATGTATGCCATTCTCATTTGGAGAACCAAATTAACCAAAATACAGCAGTAACATAAAAGTAACACGTTTTCAAAAAAGTATGCTGCCACCCAATTTAAAAGGGTTAAAAGCAAGGAATCAAAGTATGTATGTGGTAGATCATTGCCTTTTTAGGACTTTGTATCTCTTTGGAAGTATAGAGTTTGAACCAATTTCATTCAATACAATCATATGGTAAACACTAAAAGAATTGCATTCCAGATCCAAATTTGAACTGTCACTTTAGAAAATTAGATAAAAGGCTCTGTGTTCATTTAAATATGTCTTGAAACATTTAGTGTTATCAATATGAACTTTTCCTACAGAGAGTATATTCAGAGTGATTTTTTTTTATAATCATTTTAATAAAGGGCCATTCCCCCCAAATAACTGAAATTTAAGTAGAAGTATGAAATATAACACTTATTATTGAGTATAGATTTAAGCTGTCTGGATTCAATTTGGGGTTGTAGTTTTAATGATTGAGTCTATTCAAAGACCATTTAGGTCTTATCATATGGTTAATGTGGAAAGTGGCATTTGCCTATACTTTTAAGAGGGTAATTTGAATAATTCCAAGGATTCTTATTTGCTGCCTTTTGCTAACAGTTGTTATATGTCTAGGCAGTTCAGTGAAGCTTTGAAAATAACCCTTAGGAAAATGATATGTTAAGGTTAAAAATCTGCTCCTTAAAAGTCAGTAGAAATTGGAAATGCATTTTAAGCTGGTGACCTGAGAGGAGTTGAGGAAATACAGGGTAGAATCACTCAGAAAAAATACAGCAATGCAGAGCTTTAAAATAAGAAAAGCATAAGCTACGTGTGGAAGAAAAGCCTGTGAAGGGCTGAAAAACACCTCTAGATTAGGCGATAGAAGAAAGGATGAGCTGACTGTACTGCACATCACATAGCTCAGGGAGCCCCAAATAACTGGCAGGTTGTAGTGATGGCAGCAAGGGTTGCAAAATTATCGGTGGGAAAAAAAAAAAGCCAGCACTCTGGCTAGTGGTCTGGGTGTTGAGCCAGAAGAAATAGGAAGTGAATTAGGAACACACAAAAGAGATGTTCTGAGCCCAGTGAGTCCCTGGTGAGAGCAGTTTTGAAAGAGGCTCAGCTGCAGGTCCAGCATCCAGCTGACAGATCTGGAAGGTCTTCTCGGGCCTGATGAGCTATGAAATGAGGGACAAATGACTCAGCCGCAGAATCTCCACTGACAAGAGCCTGCCTTGTACAAGTTCATTATGAGCACAGCCCCGTTTTCACTAATGCTTTTGGGTGGGCAAACATTAATGCATTTGGTGTTTTGTTATTGTTGTTTTAACCCCCAAAGAAAAACTTTCCCCCTTTCAGCTCATCTCTTCAAACCTAAGAGGAGCAGAAGAGCGATGCCTCCCACTTATAAACTAAACAACGGCATTTAGTAACACTTAGGAAAGTGCTGGTTTGTGCCGGATTATAAATATTTGGGGTGATGTTCTGAGAGCCCCTGGCCTCTACTTTCCCCGGCTCTACCCCCACTGCTCCCTCGCCCCGGGCCTCTGCGCCGTTTGTCAAGCTCGCCTGTTCATGATTAATCTGCTCCTTCCTCTCCCATCCTTTCTGTCTACTTGCAGTTCCCTGACCCTCCCTCGGCAATGGTCTGTAACCCTTTATTCCTCCCAAACGCTGTTAGAAATGTGCTCCTTTGGAAACGTTTACAAGGTAATTCCACCGGCAGCCAGTTTTTCCAGCACTGTGATGGCTCGTGGCGGCTGCGTCTCACCTAGTGAGTGTGTGCACCTTTGCACTATAATGTCAGGACCATGGCCCCGGCTTCGCAGAGAACTGCTCTAGGCCAAGGGCTGTCTTCCACTTTGTGTACACCTCCCCCCGCCGTAATGTCCTGAAGTAGAGGGCGCACCGTCCTCTCTGTCGCTCTTCATTCATTCATTGGGCTCCCAGATTGTGCAGGAGATGAGGCAATAAAGAGACTGCTTCCCACACTCGAGGAACTGAAACTTGGAGAGAGCACCTTATGGACACTTCTCTCCTACTTACAGCTGATTCGGTTGCCCTCCAATGGAGCGGCCTTGGCCTTGGCCTTGGCTTCTCCCCCCATGCGCCCTGTTCCCTGGGCTCCGCTGTGGCTCTTCCCGGTTGAAAGGCCAAGCTCGGATTCCCTTCCTCGGGCCAAAGAGCTCTTGTCTTAGCTCTCTGTGCTTGTCCCCTTTCCCTGGCTGCTACCTTCTTCCTCTAGGTCCTTGTTTAACTGTTGCCTGGCTTTCATGAGGCTTTTTTGGCTACTTAAAGGAGGTCACCCCTGATATCTCATCTCGGGGATGCAGGTCTTATGCGGCGCTTGCCATCGCGCGTGATATTCTGGTTGTTTATGGTCCATCTCTCTAAATGAACTAAGCTTTCATGTGGGCCTGAAAACTAAGCTGTTTTCTTCTCAGCTGTGGGCCTCGTACAACTTCTGGCACAGAGCAGTCTGCTAGGACATGTTGAGTGAACGATTTGCGTTTGAAAGTTAGAGGGGTGCACCAGAAAATATGTATCAGAAGGTTTACAGCTGCACTTTTTAATAGTAAAGTTTGTTCAACTTTGGCGTATTCACGAATGGGATATGACACAGCCGCAAACACAAATGAATGAGTAATCAGCATCTGCGTGGCTGACTCTTAGAACCGTAAAGTGAATGAAAAAATCACGTAGCAGAAGAAATCGCAGAGTTCTAGTTCATTCATATGTAGTTCAAAACCATGCACACTAAATGCTTTATTATTTAGGGACACAGATATGCATTCAGTAACTGAAAGTGAGCTAAAAAGATTACTTCTCCTGTGATTGTGAGGGGATTAAATTGAGTTTTTCTAAGAGATTTCCAAGATGTGAGTAGCAATCTGTTTCTTCAAGTGTGTGATGGATTGATGGGTGTTTGCTCTGTTTTTTTCTTTAGACCACACATGTGTTATATGTATTCTTTTGTATTTTGATTTTAGAAAGCTTTATGTGATAGGCAATAACAGAGAATCCAAAGGGAAGTGCTGTTGGGGGAGGGAGACATCCCCTTCACCATGAAGGACCAAGAGAGCTTCCTTGAGTAGGAAGCACATTAGCCAGGCCCAGAAGCCACGCAGGACTTCGGCGGCGGCTGCACTCCAGGGTGAGGGGAAGGACTTACATGCACGGCCCTCAAAGGCCTGGTGGAGTTCAGGAGACATCAGCCAGTGGTAGAGTCTAAATGGAATAGCTTATGAGCTATTTGTCCAGTCATCAGAAATGCTCTTAAAATCAGTTTAGGCCCAGTTCAAAGGTCATTTCTTTTATAAAACCTGTTCTGATGGTTTTTTTTTGGGTTTTGTTCCTTGAGCTTTCCTAATGTTGTATTTAATGTTTGGATTTTGTGTGTGTGTGTGTGTGTGTGTGTGTGTGTGTGTGTGTGTGTGTAGCAGAGCGCTGTATAACTATGTCCTGTTTTACGGAATTTAGGAGATGCTTTTGACAATATCTTTAGCAGATCAAAAAACAGAGGGAGCAGAGGACCAAGAAATAGTGCAGGTGAAGGACTGCGGGGGCTGAGCTGGCTGCCGGGAGAGGAGGGGAGATGAGGGTTCGGATCTGTGAAGAGGAGGAACTGATGACGGGGGGATTTGGTGGTTGACAAATTGCAGAGGGTAAAAGAAGGAGAGTGTTAGGATAGCTCAGGATTTGCAGACTGATGATCTATGGAAGGTAGTAACTCTGTTACTGGATTTCAGCATCATAAGAGGGCAAGACCTTTGCTTGGAACATACTAAGGTGGAGGTTCCTGAAAGGGAATAGTACAGCTCTAGCTGGGAACAGAGCAGCGGAAATCAGATCAGGAGTTCAGGCGGGAGGGAACAGGATAGCGGGGCATCCAGAGGGAAGGAATAACTGCGGTGATGAAAGTCGGTGAGGCTTACAGGGAGGAGACCCGAGCGCCACCTGTGTTTCTCCCATGTCTGGGGAAGAGGGGGTGGGAAAGGTGCTAATCAGGGATGGTCAGACAGTTCCAGAGCCGGGGAGTCACAGAGGCTCAAGGGCGGGTGCTGTACAGTATGTGTTTTTACAGAGGATTATGATCCATTTTCATTTGATATCCTGTGCCTCCTATGTGGGATTAAAGAAAAGGCTGGTTAGAAAATGATTCTGCTGTTTGTTTCATTTGCCACATGGCTGAGCTGTCATTCGTCTTCCTGTGAAGAGAGAAGATCGTAATTTTCTGTGATCTGAATGCAGTCAGTTTTTAAAGGTACCTAAATGTAACGCACTTCAGGAAGATGTATGCCTTGCTTAGGCACGAAGACAAAGTGTCAGAGCAAATCACTAAAAATTGAAGACATCATAGGCTGTGGGATGTGGCAAATTACTGTCATATTTACAACGTGTATTACAAAGGAGACTTTTCTGGAAGGAATGTAAGGACAGCCTCATGCAGGAAACCATCCTTTTGGAATTTGGTCTCACGATCACTGTGTGCCACGCGGGAGAGCACAGCAGCAGCCGTGTTGGTATAATTAGTGCTGAAATTCAGAAACTTAGAGCACTTTGGCAGCATTTGAATATGTTTCTTTGTATCTGAGTGGAATTGTCTTCTGTAGCTACTATCGTTACTGAGCCCTTCCTTTTATCATGCCCTAGAAAGAGTGAATTTGAATTTTGTTCTGCCGTCCTGGAATTTATCATTGAAAACCGTGCCAAGAAAATGAGACAATGAAAGTTTCGATGGGTCTCAGTTTTGTTTTGTTTTTTGACACCATGTCTAACTCAAGTGAACCTCACACAGTTATTTTATATATTAGCTGAAATTTTGCCAGTGATATATTTGGCATCTGAAGGAAATGGATTGAACTGTTATCCACAGTTGTGTTTTATATTTTTCTCTCTTTCTAAATAATGAGTTGTTTTAGAAATAATTTTAATCTGTATTTTTTTAAAGTAGTTCTTTGCCGTTGTAGATACCTTGAAAAAATAAATCATTCTGTGGTGTTTAAACAGCTAGAGTGGACGCATTTCATAAATGTCTTAACATTTCAAAATTAGTGGTTATTCAATAGTTAAAAATAAGTAAATACAATCCTTTTGTAGTTCATAAGAGTGATGTTGGGTGTTCACGCTCTTGTGTGAGCTGTGCCTCCCTCAAACCTTGTTATGACATCAACTCATTATTCGTCTGACATGAAAAAAAAAAGGTAAATACAAAAGAAGCTGTTCATTTTATTTAACTGTCAAAGTTGTCATTATATTTTTTGATGGGACAGTTTTGCATCTGGCAAAGAAGAATTAGTTGGTTACATTATCTTTTAAAGTTCCCTAAGCTGATTTCTTTTCATCTTACAAGTTAAATATGGAGATAGGGGAAGAATTTTATAAGGCAGTAATTTCCATGGGCAGACCTTAAATTCTGTAATTTTCTAAACCCATTTGTTTAGAATTTAGAATTAGAGGAATCGTCTCCACACTTAATAAATATATAAATTACATGATAGTTTGATCATCTATGTTTCCCTGTTTTTAGTTAGGTAGTGAATGACTCAACGTTGATGTAAAAGAAAGATATGTAAGATTCATTTTTGTCTAAAATCTTACTTCTGGCCTTTGAGGGCCTCCGCTGGGGCAATGCTGCCTGGCCCCTTGAGCCCTGTGCGTCTGGCTCACGGTGACCACATCCCACCCATGGAGCTCTCTGATTTCTTGCCTTTCCTCAAGCAGCTCTGTCGTCCTGGAGTTCTTTCCTTGTTTTACATGGCTCTCTTGTGCCTGCTCTATTCTTGAGGCCCATTTCGTGCCCACCCTCACAGGGCCCTCTCCAGTTGTCCTCCCGCTCCCTTGCAGGATTGGCTGCCATGGAGATTGATGTCTTTTCTCCTGGGGCACCTCACTCCTTTCAGCAGTGACCAGGCTGCTGGTCGCCCTCAGGCTGCCCATCCTCGAGGGCACCCTTCTTTGCTCACCCTGTGCTCTGGCTCCGGCCATGCCCACTGTAGATGATCTAACATGAAGAGTAAGGGCGGGGGCAGATACGGGAAGCCCCACGCGGATGGGCCTTCAGGGCGAACCCCACGAAGCCTACCCACAGCAAGTTGCCTGTATGCCAAGGCATCATGGGAAGCAGACGAAGTTAGGGCCGATCAGGAGGACCCTGAACATCGGCAGGCAGGGGAGAACGAATATTTTTCTACACAGCTCATTTGTTTGCTTGTTTAATTTTCTATTGAGGTAACGTGTATAACACTATATAAGTTTCAGATATACATTATATTTCGATATCTGTATACACTCTTGTGTGTTCGCCACTAAAGTCTATTTTCCATCTGTCACCATATATTTTCCCCCCTTTACCCCCTTTGCCCAATGCCTGCCCCCCTTTCCCCCTTGTAACCACCAATCTTTTGTCTGTCTGTATCTATGTTTTTGTTTTGTTTTTTCGTTTGTTTCCTTTTCGTTTCGTATTCCATGTATGAGTGAAATCATATGGTTTTTATCCTGTTCTTTTCAACTTATTTCACTTAACATAATCTCGTGATGCATCTATGTCACAAATGGCAGTATTTCATCAGTTTTATGGTTAAGTAGCATTCCGTTTTATATATGTATATACCAGATCTTCTTTAGTCATTCATCTGCTGATTGTCACATAGGTTGTTTCCATATCTTGGCAGTTGTGAACAGTGCTGCAATAAACACAGGGTGCATATATCTTTTTTATTAGAGTTTTTATTGTGTTTGGATAAGTACCTAGAAGAGGAACTGCTAGATTATATAGTAATTCTATTCTTAATATGTTGAGGAATGATCATGCTGTTTTGCATACTGCAAAGCCCGTTTTTCTGCCTTTTTTTTTTAACTGAACATCTTTAGTCAACTTTGTATCTTATGATGTACATGTTGAGGAACTGTTTAAAAATGACTAGTTTGACAGTGATAGAAAGGATGACTTGGGAGGGTAATGAGCAGGCTGTTCTCAGGAATTAAGAGAAAGAAAGCATTGTAACATCTGGGGCTTCCTACCATTTGGAGGAGATTTAGAGATTTACGCCTTTCTATATTTAAAAGTAGAAAGAACTTGGGAGAGATTAAAAAAAAAAGCCAGAACAAGAAAGCAGGAAAAATTGATATTCCAAAGAGTAAAAATGGAATCCTGTTGAAAAGTGACAGAGCTCAGATTCAAAAGCATGGAAATGTGGATAAAAGAAGAGGTTAGAAATGTAAGAATGGAAATGCTATTTATTACTTAAAAACTGAAATTAGCTAAAAAGGTTAGATTCTTAAAAAACAAGCCAAATACTTAAGACTAGAAATGTTTTTGTTCCAATGCTGTTATATAATGTCATGACTGTACATACCCCTTTTTCTCACTTGATTAGTGGACCTCTTAGAGTTGAATACAACCAATGAAGTTTTCAAACAGCACAAGCTGAACCAAAATGATCAGCTCCTCAGTGTCCCAGATGTCATCAACTGTCTGACAACCACGTACGACGGCCTTGAACAAATGCATAAGGACCTGGTCAATGTCCCGCTCTGTGTGGATATGTGTCTCAACTGGCTGCTCAATGTTTATGACACGTAAGTTTTTATTTGTTCCCATTAAAGTACAATTATTGAATGAAATATGTTAATAATATAAAATATGCACAGTTTTAAAGTGAATTTTCTAAAAGTACTACTTTCAAAGTGCTTTATCCAGTGGAAATATTTATGTTAATTGTAAAAAATGAATAACTTTCCAAAAATTGAGCAATTAACCAAAAACAAAACAAAAAAGAATGTCCATCCACTATTTTAAGATTTTGCTTCAGTTACAAAAGCTTTCAAATTTGTAGGGTTTTCTGTTTGTTTATTGTCACAGTGCTAGAGGAAACATAATATAAATAAGTTCGATTTCCTTCTCTTTCTGGAATTTCTTACAGTATATTTTTCAAAAGATAATATTTTGTAGTTATTGTTATTAAAATAATTTATTGGCTCATAATAATGTACTCTGCGATTTTTGTGTGACAAGAGCAACTTGAATGGCAATTAAAGGCATTTAATGTCTCTTTTGGTATTGATTTTACTTAGTGGTTATGTGTGTATATGGTGTTTTAAATAATCTATGCTCTAGGGCCCTAATACCTGTAATTAGATTCTCACAGTTACCTAAAGAGCATGCTAAACTCACAGAATAACTCAGTTGCCATTGATTTGATGTTTTGAATGTGACAATGCATTTGTGAAATCATTCTAGAAAGACCTGCTGTGGGCTGACATTTCTAAAACATTCGGAATTATTCATTCTTCTGGTAGGGGGTTAAAATATGCAAAGATGAAATAAGAACATGAGGACCGTTGTTCTTCTCTGAGACCCTAAAAGTTATTTTCCATTAATTAGCTGTATGGAAATGTGTGTTTATCAGCCTTTCATTTGATTTAGAGAAAAAGAAGATAGGTGATAGTTCATAAATGCGCACATTTAGCCGCTGATTCTGTATAAGTAAATGGTGGTGACAATAGCTCTAGTGATGATTTAATTAAAATTTGCTTAGACTTTTGATTATAAAAATATTTTCTTTTTTAATATTCACAAATATCATAAAATTGTGGTTTTTTTAAAGTACTCAAATAGCCTTTGTGTGCTAGAGGGTTCTTAAGAAATGCCCTGAGAACAGATAGCATGAATCTCAATTACCATAATGAACGCGGGATTTACTAAATCCCTATCTGACATATTTTAATACATTTCGTTTTAATGCAAACCTATCCTCCTATGGTAAAAGAAAACTGAGCAATTATGAGCTATTAAGTCGATTTTTTCAAACCTCCAAAAGAGACATCTTCTATAGTAAATTCACCAACATAGCTGGTCAATTAGGTATGTTAACTACAAAGCCTATAACTTAATTTTACATCCCAGGAAGAAGGCTGAATGCATAGGATACTTAGGACCTTCTTAAGCCCGGTCGAGTGTGGTAGGGGCGCACATCTTGAGCCATGCTTAAAGGAAGAGCTGGCGGAGACGTCAGACCGCAGCCTCGGACCGTCTGTGGCTCCACACTGCTTTAGTCCGCCTGGCAGCCATACAGAGCGCCGCCACCGAGCGGCGTAAACAACAGGCATTTCTTTCCTCACGGCCCTGGAGATGGGAAGCCCAAGACCAAGGTGGCAGCTGGGTGGCTTCTCCCGCGGCCCCTCGCCTTGTCTCATAGAGGCTGTCTCCCCGCTGCGTCTTCAGATGGTCTTTCTTCTGCGTGTGTCTGTGCCCTAATCCCCTGCGTTCTTATAAGGGCCCCAGTCAGACTGCATCAGGGCCCACCCGAATAACCTCATTTTAACTTAATTACCTCGTTAAAGATTCTGTCTCCAAATACCGTTGCATCCTGAGGTACTGGCAGTTAGGATTTCAAGTGTGAATTTTAGGGAGATATATAATTCAGCCTATGACCCATATATGTGCTGTTTTCACTGGACAGCCCAAAGGGAATAGTGTCACTTAGATGGGAAGGAAGCAGTATGCGAAATGCTGTGATTCATATTCTAGGGAGTTACATGTTTTTATATTTCTATTTTCCACCATCAAATATGAACACATGAGAAATGCTCAACTAAGATACTGTTTCTTATTTAGAAAGACAATATCTTGAAATTCTCCATTCTGAAGGGAAAAAAGCTTTTAGGATATATCTCCCTTTCATGTCAAAAAATATAGCAAAGACCATGCTGGGTCAGACGATGTGTCTAGTTTTTCCATCTTGGGGAGAAATATGAATTAACCTTAGGAAAAAAACATGGTCACTTATATGACGGTAATGTCCGATGGCCAGCGTTGATTGCCCGAATTTCTCTAATAACTATGACTTACACATTTATCTGAGCAAGGCTGTTTAGCTCTTTTCAGGCTCTTAGCTCCCTTTGAGAATCTGATAGAAATTATAACCTACTCCTTCCAATGCACCAAAATAATGGACCCCTAAGAAGTCTCTGAACCTTGGAAATGGCACCATGATCTAACCCCTTCATTCAAAGGATTAGATGCCAGCTGTCTGACATTCGTTCGTGAGCCATATATTTTTGCCTGCCTTGCTTTATGATGCAGCCCACACTGGCATTTGCAGCTCTTAAAGTCTGTTCATCCAGCTCTTGAAATAACGAGTGAGCACTGGCAGCAGGTCACAGAAGTCTAGGAGGAGGACTTTGACGATCTACCATTTTGCCCTTTTTGCTTTACTGATTGAGAAACTGGCCCAGCGAGACAGACAACTTATCCTTGGCCACCGATTGCATATTAGTGGTAGATGTAGCAATAATACTCCATTTTTCTTTATAATGACTCAATTACTCTTACCATATCGCCATACCTAAGAAAAACAGTAGCTGGTAAATTATTCTAAGGTTACTGTTTCTTTTAAGTTTTAACATGTACCCCACTTCTCCTAATATCCTAAATTTTGTTTTAAAAAATCTGTTTTCTTCTGTTGTGGATAACAAGAATCCAAATATGTGGTTCTGGTTGCTGTGTGATTTGGTAACCACTTCACTTTTGACGCCTTAATTTCTCATCTGAAAAACAGATAAAATATCTGCTTGGTTTACCATCCATAGATGACTATAAAAAGCAAATAAACGAATAGGTAGAAAGGTCTTTATAAATAATAAAAGTGAAATTGATTCCATTTATATGAGTTCACAGCCTTGCTCAGTCTGTGTCTTCCCAGGGTAAAAAGTCTTAATTGCACAATCTTTCTTCTAGATTTAATGGAAATCAAAATTATTTAAATTATTATTTAATGCAGTAATCTAGAATACTTGGTTCACATTCTTTTGTCTCTACAGAAAATGTTAACCTCACTTGCTGCAGCGTGAGGTTACTTTTTCCCCACTTTTCCAAGGAGGATATAATTTGTAAGGTGCATAGCTTTCCAGTTAAACTAATGTCAGATGTTAATTATGAAAACTGTCAGGGAACCAAATAGTTAAGTATTGGGCTTTATCACTCAGTAATAAATTTCATTAGCTCCCTATTGTCTTTCACATCCAAATACATTTTTTAACATCACCTGGCCCCAGATCGCCTGGAGAACTTTATAAACAGTTTAGCCTTGATGCCAGTCCTTGCTACCTGAGTGAGTCTTGTCGCTGGTGCTCACACACTTCCCTCTGTTCCCTCGCCTAAGCTTTTCCTGTGATACTTCTCCTACTTGGGACAGGTGAGCCGTGTCATGCTTTCAGTGTCCAACTTATCTCCTTTATCAAATGCTGTTACACTAAGGACTACTCAGATGAATCACCAATCATTAATTAGTCATCTACAATTATCTTTACTTGATTATTTCCACACATAAAGGTTGGTATCATATTTTCTTACGATTCTCTAGTTGTTTTCTTGTCTCGCTTCCCCAGCTAGTGTGAGCATATCGTGGGGAGGGATTATGTCTCGTGCCTTTCTGTGGGTCCCTGTGGTACGGAGAACAATGCTAGGATCACAGTAAGCCTTCATAACCGTTGATGGTGTGATGACGGATGACTGACATTTTCAGTAGTCTTTCTGATGATTTTCTTTTCTTGTGTTGACACCACAGAGTAGAGGTCATCCTCTAATGCCTATCATTTTGATCTTTTCCCTGTAGGGATTGCTTTGTCCTTAGCTACATTCATGTACAAGTCTATTCACAGCCTTTTGTTATCTTCTGCAAGTCCACTGTCTCATTGTGTCCAAAAAATAAAATTTCCTGATTTCTGGAGGAAAGAAAAGAGACATTGTCTATTTTTATGTGATAATTAGGAAATGCCTAAAAAATATGAAATAGAAACAAAATTTCCAGCATAGCTCAGTTTAAGGTTATTCTGAAATGAGTATTTCTGTGATTGTGAGAAACTGGAATATGCTGTATATATTAACTTAGAAATTCTTCTTGTAATAGCTATATTTATTTTTAAATGTAAGTATTACTTATTTCATAGGTCAATTCTGAATGTTGTACACATACATAGTAAGGGTTCAAGAAATTTGTTGCATATGATTTAATACAGATATTGACTCTAAACTGTTGAAAGACTGTTTTGAAAATATGTCTTACCAATCCCTAAGCATGTTTTATAAAATGTATTTTGTACTTTATATGTCATGGTTTGTATACAGAAATTTATCTGAGTATAGTTTGAGAATGGAAGATATCAGGGAATGTTAATAGTAAAAATATCAATAAGATCAAGATTTAAATGCAGTTTGGCAATAAGACTACCTAAAATTAAAGTTTCATAATACAAATATTTACCTTTTAAAAATAGCATGAATTACTAAATGTTATTTATTCATATAATTATGCAAAAATTTATTTATAGGTTTTAACTGTACTCCACTTGTAAATTAAAAACATATTTTAAGAAAATTAACAATAAAATTAAACTGAAAACTGATTCTGAGTATGAAATAATAAAGATAGCATTAAGGACTTTTTCTTGACTGTGTACTATTCCATAGCAGGGATCATAATATTGTTAATTTTTATAGTTTCTACATTTACCTCTCCCCATCCCCAGGATCTAGTATAGTGACTAACATTTGATAGATAACTCAGTGATTCTTTGATAAATGATGGGGCAAAGACAACTTTCTGCTTTAAAATAAAATAAATTTTTTCCTTTAGTCTGCTTATAAGTGAAATTGAAATGGTCTCTCATTAGTGTAAAGCTATTTCCTTGTTGATTAATCAGTACATTTTAAATTTAATTATAATTTACTACTTCCCCAAATACAGAGTCTACACCTGTCAAAGATCACTGACTAGTATAATAATTGCAATAGTAATATAAAAATTGCATTGACAGAGACCATCAATAAAGACAATACATTTTAAGTATTCAGCAGTTATAAGCCCTCACTAGTTAATTTTTCAGTCAGTTTTCTTACATTTGATCTTAGATCTTGCTGAATTAACTCACGTGCATATTATATGTATGTTTTGAATCTTGCATTTATAGTTATTAACAAATACATTTTAATTCATAGTATTTATAAAAATGAAATCTTTTCAGCTTTATGATTAAAGTTTTTATTTTGCCTTAATTTGTTCTTCCTGGTTCATATGTGGTGTGTAATGTGACTTCAGGCTGTATATTCTTTGGGACTAGGTTGAACATACTATTACAATATGTCATGAACTTATGGTGTGGGTTTAGCATTAATTATTAGACATGAATAGAAAAGTTATATCGTTAAGATGCAATTATTTTTTAATGGTTTACCCTCAAGAAAATAGTTATTCAGAAGTATTTTACATACTGTTTTAAATTCATGTAACGCATTGAGATTCTTATAATTTCAGGGGTCGGACTGGAAAAATCAGAGTGCAGAGTCTGAAGATTGGATTGATGTCTCTCTCTAAAGGCCTCTTAGAAGAAAAATACAGATGTATGTAAGACCGTTCCTATACCAATAGTGTGTTTAGTAATGGTAATGATAATTTGTTGGAGACTTACTTTAGATGACTGGCTAGTAATAAAAGTTCCCATTTTTTTAACCCTTACTCTACATGTCCAGGCTAGACTGAGGGTGTCAGTAAGTAGTGGACTGTGTGTAATGAAGAGCTGATAATAGGATCAAGAGGTGAGGTGCCTTGATGAAGTGAGAATCAACTACAAGTTGTATCTCACTTAATTCTTAGAAGAATCACCCCATGATGATGTAGGCATTGTGACATCCATTTTCCAAATGAAAAAAATTGCTGCTGAGGTAGGTTAAAAACCTAGTCAAAGACTGTAGTGACAATAATCGTGGGGCTAGAATTAGATCACTGAGTTTTCTGACTCTAAGCCCAAGCCTTTTCTATTTCTGTATACTTCCAATGCTTAAAAAAATTTAAGATAGACTAGAACCTCTATATTATAGTTTATACTAGAACCTTGAGCACTTCCAATACTTAAAAAAAAAAAAAAATCAAGACGGACTAGGACTGTTGTAGATGTAGTTAGACAAATAATTGTACAGTGTGAAAAAATAAAATGATAAAAATCTTTTTTATTTTATGTTTCTTTCTATTCACCGAATAAGTTAGTGGTGTCCCTTTATCTGTTAGTTAACAAAGGGCATCGTGCCATTTGGAAACGGACAGGCTCATGGGCCAGAGAGACCTGCCTTCAAACCTCAGCTCTACCACTTAGTGGCTGAGTGGCTTTGGGCAGGTTACAAGATCCCATTGAATGCTGAGTGCAGCCAAGAGGTAATATTACTTCCATTTCATGCTTCGGGAAGCTGAAATCTAGTGAATTTTCTTCAACTACAGAATGAAGCTAGTAATTCTTGCTTTGAAAGCAATTAGAGATAATATCTGGAACGTACCTAGAAATCGTTGTTGAATAAATGGTAGCAATTGCTGCTGTCTCCAGACTCTTAAAATATCTTTTGATTTAATTTTGTCCATAAAATGTGAGTTACTTGATCCTGCCATATATATTCCCAGATGATTCTTTACAGACGTGTCCATACATTTGGGAGAGAGGGACAGGGATTCTTCAGGAATGGAGAGATTCCGAAAGCAGGAGGATATTTGCTCACAAGTCCTATAAACTTATTCAAGTTTTGCATCTTACGTGAATATACCTTTAAAAAAAAAGTTTGTTTTCTGGGATGGCTGTATGATTTGATTTTCAGTTTTAGGTCTAGACCATGAAGGCCAATTTTCTTACACAGTTTACAAGAATGTCAGTGACAGAAGACGTAGATTCTATGCGAGGGAAAGCTGACGGCAGGATGGGCAGGCGAGGTGCCTTCGTGGACTCCGAACCTAGTGCAGGGCAGCGCTTTGCACAAGGCTTTTGTTTGCTGGCATTTCACCCGGAATTTAAATCATCTTCAGCATCATAGTTGTCAAAAGATACCATTTTCAAAGCGAAAAAAGTGATTTCTATAATGAGTGGGAAAGGAAAATGTGAATGAAAGCATCAGGGTACCAAAATTAAAAGAGGGCTTTTTCCACGCCTGCGCTTTGGGGTTTCACTTGCTCCTGACAGGATGGGGGGTTCTCAAGGTAACAGTTACGTCCTGGTGCTCAACCTGCTCTGAAGCGAATGCAGATTCAGCCTCACAGTTTATCCTGAACCGTGAACAGCAGTGTGGTCTGTTTTCCTCCCTCTCTCATTCCCACCTCTCTCTTTTTGAAGCTGGTTATCAGGGAGTAACCCGAGACCAAAAGAAAGAGCTACAACACAGTGGCTGTAGTTATAGAAGAAAAACAAACAAGCTCTACACAATATTATGTATAAAAGATGTCTTTTATCTTTACATATACCTTCAAACGTCTTTGTGAAATGCAGTCTTTAAATTGAGGGTGTTTCAGCGTACACATACTCAGACACTTGTACTGCGCTGGACTCACTTCCTACAAATGTTGGGAAATGTAATACAGTGTACAATTTAACATTAAAATTTCAGATTATGCAGGAAAAGCAGGAGCCCCTGAAAATTTCTGATACGTGATTGAATCCCTGAAAGTACACCATTTTAGGACTTAATAAGAAACCCCTTGGGTTGAAATCTTTAGTCTAAATCTTTCTGGGGAGTCTTGAGACTCAGGAAATGTTCTGAGGTTTTGTTTTATTTTTTACCTTGAGGTCCTTAGCAACTCTGATTCCAGTTTTGATTTTCCAATAATAGCAGAACATTTCCTCATTATAACTTCCTTGGTTAGAATTAATATTCAAGACAATTTGTTTTCCAGACTCAATGGCAAAGGTGCCATCCTGGGTTATTTGGTATCTATCTGAACCTGGATTTTGCAATGACTAATGTCTGTGTCTTTAGCCTGGTGACACCTCCCTCTCTCTTCATACCTTCCAGAGAATATCCCTTGATTAGGTTCTAACAACACCCTGGCCTTCCTGTTTATAGCTGGTGGCTTCTTTGCCTCATCAAAAAACACATTTACAAAGATCCTCTTCAGAGGCCTTTTGCATTTCTTCTGTCCTAATTTATTGGAACTTGGGATTTAGATTGTGATTTTTCTCTGACCCATTCCCACATTCTGACACCCCTTTTTATTTCTGACTACAACATCAAAAATGTGAACTTCTAGAAAAATTTAGAAATATGTCAAAATTTCTAATGTTAATAAACATTATCTTTTATGTTTTGTGTATAGTTTTACCTTAATGGTGGCATAGCAGTGTAGCTGCCTGCCTCAAAAGAGGAAAGTTGGGCACAATGGATCTTGTTGAAAATGTGCACTCCTCTGTACAGATTATACATATGATATGCAACTTTATTTACCTAAGAGGCCAATTCCCAGGAACAGGTTTAAAATGAGCTCCATAGTAAGAATCCCGGGCAAATATTTTCTGGCTATGATAGTCTAATTTTTGACAAATGAAAAGTAACAAGTAGAACTCTAACCAAATCTAAGTGAGCAAATGATAATAAAAATTAAATTTATCTTAATTGAATTTGCTTTCCCTGTGTATACTATGATTAAAGTCATATTTCATTATAATTATGGTGTCAATATCACTAAGCTTGGTTCAGTTGCTTGAAAATTCACTGTTGACAGTGTTAGATCCAGCATTATTCCCCTTTAAAATAAAGGGAATATACATTTTGATCTGATATTCATTTATCAGGTATTTTTTGAAAATGGTTTTTAGGATCCAATAAATATTTACTCTCCTTTCTTCTGTTCTTGGAAACATAACACGAAAAGCATTTAGAGTTTGTGTGGTTATGAATTTTCAGAACTTGGAAACTTCTTTCCAAAAAGTATTAGTTTCTACAACAAAGTGGGTTGTTTCTACCTGAAATTCCTCCCTATTTTTAAAGCAACTTATTTCAACATATTAGCTTTATTGCTGGAAACAAGCTAATAATTTTAATCTTCAAAATGTTTCAAGTGGTGAATAGAAGATAAGCCAATGTTGAAATGGAAAGAAGAGTTTTAATTTTATTGAATCAAGTTATAAAATAAATTAGTGTTGTGTGTGTTTTTTTAATGAATAGAAAAGCCTAAAGAACTGTGTGAAAGTAAGCATGAATTTTGTTAATATGCCCTTAAAATTTGAATAAATGTATTTTACTACATGAAATAAAGTAAAACAAAAATAATTTTTATAGTTAATAAGGAATGAGACTGATTGTACCTAAAGGAAACAAACCTGAAAATAAAATATACCTCTTTGTACTTCTTAATGTTTGATATATAAAATAGATTTGAGTACAGTGATCTTTAAAAGAAGTATATATGTTTAATAGAATATTAAATCTAGAAGTGAACACAAAAAGTTAGTAAACAAATCTGTTAAAATGTAAAGATTTGCTCCTTAAGGCACATTCATTCCCTTGACAAGTCATGATGAGACTTTGTGTGGCTCACTGTCTTTCTCAATAAGAAGGGAAATCCCGATTGAAACCATTGAGTGAAACCCAGTGCATTTATTGTACCATTTGTAAAAGAAATTTGTAGTTACTGGTCTACTTAAATGTATTGATGTACAACAGGAGGTTGTTCTAAGAAGCATGTGGTGAACCAGCTCCTGATTACAGATGCACAGAATATCAAGGTGGTCAGGATGCAGGAGACGACTAATTGATTCACGACCCCATGAATTTTTCTTAATCTACATTGTTCAATCCCTATAATCAAAGATATAAAAGAACGCTGCGGGCAGATGGAAGTTAACCTCTTGCCTCTCCTCCTTGCAGATCTCTTTAAGGAAGTGGCAGGACCAACAGAAATGTGTGACCAGAGGCAGCTTGGCCTCTTACTCCACGATGCCATCCAGATCCCCCGGCAGCTGGGAGAAGTAGCAGCTTTTGGAGGCAGTAACATTGAACCCAGTGTTCGCAGCTGCTTCCAACAGGTGAACACACAGGATCACTGGTATATAGGGTGCTAGGATCACTGGTATATAGGGTGCTAGGATCACTGGTATATAGGGTGCTAGGATCACTGGTATATAGGGTGCTAGGATCACTGGTATATAGGGTGCTAGGATCACTGGTATATAGGGTGCTAGGATCACTGGTATATAGGGTGCTAGGATCACTGGTATATAGGGTGCTAGGATCACTGGTATATAGGGTGCTAGGATCACTGGTATATAGGGTGCTAGGATCACTGGTATATAGGGTGCTAGGATCACTGGTATATAGGGTGCTAGGATCACTGGTATATAGGGTGCTAGGATCACTGGTATATAGGGTGCTAGGATCACTGGTATATAGGGTGCTAGGATCACTGGTATATAGGGTGCTAGGATCACTGGTATATAGGGTGCTAGGATCACTGGTATATAGGGTGCTAGGATCACTGGTATATAGGGTGCTAGGATCACTGGTATATAGGGTGCTAGGATCACTGGTATATAGGGTGCTAGGATCACTGGTATATAGGGTTCTGAGAATGTTCCAAGAAATGGAACAGGGGACTGTGCTGGAGCCAAATGGTGGAGGACATTGGGTCCCATCTCAGTTAAGTTTGTATGTTGTTTCTTAAGGCATATTTGATTCAAGGAATAGCTACCGCCTCAAGGAGACGTACCGCTTCTCAGTGTATAAAATCCAAAATCTTTAACATGTGCTATCAGATTGCTGTGATCTGGCCCTGCCTTTGCCCTGGCTTCATCCTTTGTCACTTGTCCCCTTGCTCCCTGCTTTCTACCCACACTGTTTTAGTTCCTCCATTCTTGCCTTAGCGCCTTTGGACATATCCCTCTGTTCAGAATGTTCTTCCATACCCTCCACCCACCATGTGATACTCCCTTCTCATCGCTAACCTTATTTATTCTTTAGATCTTTGCCTAAATCTCACCCCCTTGAAAATCCTTCTCTGCCCCTTCAGGTGAGGTTGTGCATCTCACTGTATTCACCTGGATCTCCTCTGCCTTCTTGGGATGCTCGTTACAGTTATAACTATGTACCAAGTTGTATAATTGCCTGTTTCGTTTTTTCTTTCATATAAACCTAAGCATGGTGAACAGGGATAATTTTTATCTTTTTATTATTGTATCCCTGTGCACAATGCCTTGAACATCACAGCTACTTAATAAATATTTGCCTCATAAATTAATAAAAAGCCCTGAGTTCCTTGGAGGCAAGATTTTAAAAAATATATAAATTTAAACTTACTAAAATAAGATCTTTTCTTTGAGAGCTTATGTACAAAAGGGGAATGATATATGTAGAGTGTTATACTGGTCTGTAACTAATGTTAAACTGGAAAAGCATTTTTGTTTCTTTTTAAGGCTCACTGTACATAAAGCATTTTAGTTAGAACTGTTACTACTGATATTGTACATTTGCATAAAGTACAGACTAGAGATATTTTCTCAGAGCAAATTCAGTGATTCATCATTGCAGGGAGAAAAAATGCTCTCACCCTCTCTTTAAGGCGAATTGATGTTACGGGTTATTACGTTTTATAATGGCCCCTTTTCTTGTTTTAGAGATAGGAAAAAAAAATACCAATTGAAAATTCTAAATGTAATTTCCCATGTGCCAGTTCATAGAATGACCTTGACAACAGCAGAAGAAAGGCATTTGTACAAATTTAATTTTGCACATATGAAAATAAATTAGTGGTAAGATTTACAGGGGGACTAAGATGTTTCATACATTTTGTTATAAATTTTGAAATCTTGCCAGGTCCATTCATGGTACTGTGACCCCAGCATGATGCTGGAGCAGGACTGGAGCAGGACGCAACAATAACAGCTTTTAAGTAGCATTTATAATGGCCTTCAAGTCTGGAAAGTAATCAGGGAGTTTTTAGTTTCACAAATTTTTACTGTGTCAGATGAGTGAACTTTATGGGATTAAAGTATATATGTGAAAAGAAGAACTGGAATAGGGTAGGTTTTGTTTTAGTTTTCTTTAAATCTGAGTATATGCAGATATTGGGATTTTTTTTCTTCTTCCTATATGACAATTTCTGCTTTTTATCTTTTTAAATTCTAGAATTTTCTTTCCTTGAAAAACCTTAGATACGTCATGATTTAATGGACCTGGGAAGTACTACATAACTTTTAGTTGTGCACAGATTTTTCAGAAGCTTATGAAGCAGCAACATGTGCTGCTATTTAAACGAAGAAATGTTCTTCACTTTTCACGTATTTGTTTCATCCCCAGAATAACAACAAGCCAGAGATAAGTGTGAAGGAGTTTATAGACTGGATGCGCCTGGAACCACAGTCCATGGTTTGGCTGCCAGTGTTACACCGAGTGGCAGCAGCAGAGACTGCAAAACATCAGGCCAAATGCAACATCTGTAAAGAATGTCCGATTGTTGGATTCCGGTAAGATCTACCGCCAGTGGTGACAGGAGACGATTTTCTGCTCTGTGTATGTCATCTCAGTGTATGTGTATCATCCCTTCCCTTCATTCCCATTGAGGGGTTGCCTCCTAAGTCAGTGAGATGCTCAGCATATTCCATCTATCTAAAAATGGCATTTCTTCTTCAGCCAGTACATGTAGCTTGTTATATTATTATTACTAATGTTATTTTGCTCTGGAACCAAGGACTTTTCTGAATTCCTATCACACACTTCACAGAAATGTTCATGCATGTTAATTGCACAGCTCCTTATATATCTATGGCCCTGATGGGATTGGGTCATGTTCTGAGGCCTTTGGGATCAAACTTGGTAAGCAGAGAGCAAAATTTAAATAATAACTGAGAAGTAATTGAGTTACTTTGTTCTACTTCTGCCAGGTTTGGTGTGAAGTAGGTAAACCCTATTTATCCACACACAAGGAGCGTTGCTCAGCACCACACTTTAATGTAATCAATGTCAGATTCATCAGTATGTGGCCCCAAAGCAGAGAAGGTCTCTGGTTGGCCCCGGGATGAAGTGTCTTGGCTGTCACGGTCCTGTCGCCTCTTTGTCTTAAGATAGGTATACATTAGAACGTGTAAGTTTCTCTTTGGGGAGGAATCTAGAAAATGACCCCAGTTTCATTTGGGAATCAGTTATGAAAAAACACAAGCCTCCTCAGCAGTGGAACTCAAGGCTCTGTATGCGCCTTTCATTCATCCCTCAGAGGAGTTAACTAAGATGGTGATTTCGCTGATGGAGGCCAGTCAGGGTGGCTAGGATTGGTTTTGTGGTATATAGTACCTGTGTCAGTATATCCTGAACTAAACAAGTTGCTTTCATTTGACTGACTTTGCCAGCATAGGTTTTTGAAAGAGTATCGTATTTTCTGTGGATGGCAAACTAAGAAATTGAATGTAAATTTCCTGGCAGGGGAGCCAGTCTACAGAGTGACAAGTCCCGAGTGCCTTGTGCCAGCGAGGCTGTGCAGTTTAAGAGATGGAAAGGCAAGTAGTGCGTGGGAGGCAGAATCAGCATGAGCCTGACAGCCAGTGCAAGTCAGAGGCCCAGCCCTGGAAGGGAACGATGGGAAAGGTACCTTTACACGCAGCAGGTTTCTCAGCGAGGCCGCGTTTGAAGCACCTGGTAGACAGATGGATGGAGAGGAAAGGAAAAGCTGGAATGTAGCAAGCTCAGGGTACGAGTGGGAAGATAATCCAGATGAGGTACAACCATCAGAACTAATAATCACTGCTGGTTATCTGTGCTTACTGGATGCCAGGCACTGTGCTGAAACATTCTGCGTTTGTCATTTCATTTACTCTCCATAAAAACCCTGTAAAATTGGTAGGATTATCTCTACTTTACACATGAAAGAACTAAGACTCAGAGATTAGGCAACCTGCCCAAGGCCAGATAGCTAATAAGTGAAGACAAAACTGTGATTCAGATACAGTGTTTTTGACCTTGGAGTTCATGCTCTTAGTCAATAGGGTATTTTTTTTTTTAAAAAAAGATTAGATTTTTTTAGAAGAGGTGAGATTTGACATTAAGAAGCGAGTAGATGATACTGAACAGAACAAGTGGTTTAGGACATTGACTATTAGACCAAAAGTAATATGCTGTATATAAAAAGTAATGTGACACCACAGGAAACATCCAGATTAACGGATTTGGGAAGACTGGCTTATGTGAAACAGGCCACATACAGCCATTGCTGTAGCCCGGAGAGGTGTAGAGGGACCAGATTTCTCAAAGGCTGTGGATATGGAGAGTGAAGGACAGGACAAAAGACTAAAAATTATTAGCATTTGACTGTACCTTTAACATTTTATTACTTAAATAGACAAAAACCTGAAACAACTGTAGCACAACATTATATTCAACAAAGCTGAGATATGGATGCATAGATGTTTATGTTATACTCTCTACTTTTGAATAAGCTTGAAATATTTCATAAGAGAAAAATGAAAGAGCAGTTACAAAAGGTGAATGATGTTAAATGTTGAATTTCAGGTATTTAATATAAAATTTATATGTAGATGTCTCTAATGAAAAGATGTGGAGTCGACCAGGCGGGTGGTCAGAGGTCAAGGTTATAGCAGGACGTGCAGGAGGTAGTGTACTGAGAACTAGCTCTGGAGTCTGGCTGCTTAGGTTTGAATCCTGAATCTACCGTTTGACTGTGTGACTTTGGATAAGTTACTTGGCCTTCCTGAATCTGAGTATCTTCAACTTCAAATCCTGTGAGCATTCCCCCCCTGCCCAGGGAATAATTAATGCATGAAAAGAGACTAGGGCAGTCCCTATCACAAAAAGAACAGGCATTCATTAATATTAGCTCTTTTTCTCATTACCAATAACTAATAAGCATTAGTGGGATAGGAGGTCAGCCTAAAGGTGATAGGGCACTGTTTACTGAACAGCCTGAGCAATGACGACGCTCAGGAGAAGGCGAGATAGGAAAGATGATCACGGTTCTCAAGAGAAGCAAAGAATCATAGTGTTGCAGAAATCAGAAAGAGGGCTTTAGAAAGATGGTAGAGATGTTAAGTGCAGCAGGGAGATTCTAAGCATCGCATGCGAGAACTGACCCTTGACTCAGGAGAAGTCATGGGTTATTTTAGAAAGAACTCTCCATGTCATGATACGGTTGGAAGGCACGTCTCCGGCTCAGAAGATAAGCAGGTTAGCATGTGCGGTACACTTGCTCGAGGAGGCAAGCTGTAACTTGAAGAAATTATGTCAGTATTATCATCTCCCTTTTACTTGCATATGTATTTCCCAGTTTTCTATTTTGAGAACGTAGTCCATTTAAAATGTTTAATTTCTGAACGGAGGGGAAACAGGTCTAGAGTGGGTATCTGGTTTAGGGATGAGACCAAGCAAAGATTTCTTCAAACTAATCAACTTAATGATTGCACAAAGATTACCCATAGAGGAAATAAAGCAAGGACACCCCAATAATAAGGCAGGGCCAAGAGAGCTGGTCCTGATTAGCTCTCAGGTGAAGGGCTCTCTCTTTGAGCTATGAGGAAGAAGGAAATGCCAACTCCAGAACTAAAGATAGAGGAGTATGGGCACTGTGGAGTGATGCTAATTTTGTCCTGGTTGACTCTGCTACCACTTTATATACTTTTTTTTTTCATTTATTTCCCCTGAACTTTTATACATACTGCTAGAGTTTTTCTGTAATTACTTCCAAATTAAATTTTAATGAAATCTCAGATTTGCAGAATGTTTTACAAACTAGGAATTGTTTCAGTTAGGATTACGTTCAGCTGCTTAATAGAAGCATAAACAAAATAGAAGTTTAGTTTCTTTTCATGTAAAAAGAAGAGTCCAAAGATAGGAATCCAAGACTGAATGGTGGCTTCCCTGACATCTGAGTTCACTGTTCTTTTTTTCTAGTTCTATTGAGATAAAATTGACATATAACATTATGTAAATTTAAAGTTTCTTTCCTGTTGATTCGATACACTCTCTGTAAAATGATTACCTCCGTGGTGTTAGGGAACACCTGCATCATGTCCCATAATCACCATGTCCTTTTTGAGATGAGAACATTGAAAATCTACTCTCTTAGCAACTTTCAAGTGTATAATACAGTATGATTAACTACACTCACTATGCTACGCATTAGATTCCTGGAACTTATTCCTCTTACAACTGGAAGTCTGTACCCTTTGACCAACACCCCCCTTTTCATAGTTCTGGCTTTATGCTCTGTTATCCTTAACACGTGGCTTCCATCTTCAAGGTTGCCCCATGCTAACTGAATGGCCCTTTTTATTTGAATTTTGGGGGTGATATTGGTTAATAAAATCGCATAGGTTTCAGGTGTACAGTTGTATAATACATCATCTGTATATTGCCTTGTGTGTGCACCACCCAAGGGAAGCCTCCTTCCATCACCTTTTATCCCCCTATCAGAAGGGCTCTTCTAGATGGCAGGGTCATTTTCCAGGAAGGAGGAAGTGGAACTGTGCCCCTTCACGACTGAGTCAGTCCCTTGGAATCCCGACTAGAAATCCCACTCAGTGACTTTGACTTGTATTCCACTGGTCACCACCATCAATCAGCAAGAGAATCTGAAAAACATATTTTTAGCAGGGTGCAGGGCCCACTAATAGTACAAGGGTCTGGCACCAAATGAAGAAAAGAGTGGCTTTCTGCCAAGGAGTGTTCAGAAACAGGCAAAACTCCATTTAGAAGGCAAGATGTCAGTCATATTTGTCAAGCCGTGCTGATAGGTCAAGAAATATTATTAGTGTAGGTGAATGTTTCAGACCAGGCTGCTCCCTTGCCAAAGTAAGCTAGATGTAGTATATGCCCATTTATTTTCTTGAGATCGATTTGCAAGTGATTTTCACAGGTCATTTTAGAAGCTACTCAGCACTTAATGGTTTACAATATTAATCTCACGTAGCCTTTGCATTCTGTTTCCATTTTCATTCTGTTAATCCTGTTCTTTAATTTTTTTCTGTGGATATGAATATACGTATGTTCTTAGTTACTCCCTGCCATTCTGGCAGATGGGGGATCTGGGAGATGTTTTCCCCTCTGACCCATAGAAACTTCAAATCTGTCATTCTTCAAATGAAGGACAAGGTACACTGTCACTAAGCAAATTGCACATTGGTGGCCAATATACTTTTGTGGTGATTTGGATGAATGAAATTCCTTCCACAAGTGATTGATTTGGACTAAATATAGGCATGCAAGCCAATGAGTTTTCTTTTCTTCTCTCTAGGTACAGAAGCCTGAAGCATTTTAACTATGATGTCTGCCAGAGCTGCTTTTTTTCAGGTCGAACAGCAAAAGGTCACAAATTACATTATCCGATGGTGGAATATTGTATACCTGTGAGTACTGAGCCATTGTTTGTTTGTTTGTTTTAATATACTGCTTTTGAATTAACTAGCATCAAAAATTATTCAGTTTAGACAACTTTTGGGGGGAAAATCATTTTTAAGATGTCTTAGTGATTTTTGTTGTTTTAAGTAAATATCTATATTGTATTCATTAACAGAATCGTTATACATTTTTCAGAAAAATTAATTACATTTATTTATATCTGTGTTTTGGTTTTAAATAACTTTCTTGGCAGCAAACTCTTTTAAGAGTTCATGCTGACCTACATTGAAAATGATACTATGTGATGGGAAATAATGTTTCTTTCAGACATATTTAAAATATCTTTTTATAGTTATGTATTTACATTAACAAAAATGTAGAAAATGAAAAGAGTAAAAAAATCTATAAATCTAGCTCCTGAATAAGCTACCTTCCAATATTTTTCCATGTCTCTGATTTTATTTTTATATTTATGTAACTTTGATCCTGCTGTTTTCAGTGAGCATATGGTATAAGTTTTCCCCTCTGTTGTCACACAGTATAATTTTTCTTTGTAACAGATTATTTAAATCAGTAAATTACTCTAATTTATCTAACCATTCCCTTCAATTTGGACATTTAGCTTATTTTCAATTATATGATATTATAAACAACACTCATAAATATGGTTGTGAAGATAACTCCATATTTTACATAAATTACATTTCCATAGAATAAAGTACTAAAAATGGGTGAATATGAGTATTTTCTTTTTTTTCTTTTTTTAAAATATATCTTTATTGATTTCAGAGAGAGGAAAGGAGAAGGAGAGAGAGAGATGGAAACAACTATGATGAGAGAGTCATTGATCGAGCCTGCAACCCGGGCATGTGCCCTGACCGGGAATCGAACCCTGATCGCCTGGATCCCAGGTTGATGCTCAACCGCTGAGCCACGCCCGGCCAGGCAGAATAAGAGTATTTTCATGGCCAAAATACTTCATGCCAAGTTCTTTTCCAAAAGAGGTTTAGGCTATATTATTACCCTATTTTGTTAATGTCCTGATTTTACCACAGCCTCACTAGTGCTGGCTGTTAATTCATATTGTTCCTTTGATCTAAAGCTATGCTTTCTTAAGTTACCTTCGTTTTCTGTCAACAGCTATTTTTTAGCTTCCTCCCAAATAGCAAACCAAAATGTATTCATAGAGCTATACATTTTCTTTGGTTTAAGGAATTGAGTTACTATTTGTATCAAAAATTGACAGAAAGGCAGCAATACTTATAAAATATACACATATAAATCTCACTCACATTCTTAGGTATCTTCTCAAATAAATAGGTGCCCTGTAAGGGGAAAGGAAGCCTCTAGACAATGTAGCAGAATTATACAGATGAAATACCCACAGTGTACACTAACTTCAACTAGGAAAAAAATTCCCTCAAGAAAATGTGTGAAGCGACATTTATTATTATGACTAACATATTTATTTATGCAACAAAAAATACTGAGTACTAGCCATGTGTCAGACACTGTTCCCAGCTCTGATAATTCATCAGTGTAGTATCAAAACAGACAAGATTATGAGTCTCTTGATACTTTCCATTTAGGAGGAGGGGGCCTTTGACAATAAGCAAGGAAGCAAATGAGATCATTACAGATTGTAGTGAGTGCCTTTAAAGAAATAAATGGCTAATGAGATAGAAGATTAGGGGAAGCACTTTAAGTAAAGAAATCAGGGAGAATCTCTCTGAGATGTTAACATTTGTGTTGAGACTGAAGGAAGAGGAAGAATCGGCTGTGTAAAGAACTAGTGGAGGGAAGAGACAACATACGAGGGGGTCTGGAGGTGGAAAGGAGGTTGGCATGATTGGGGCACAGGAGAGAGGGGAGCATATTCCACAGGGGAGTGTAGGAGGCAGCACTGGCTGTCTACTTTGAAGTGATCAGAGCAAAATGAAAATGTGGGGCCCTTGTTAAAAAATTATTGCGATTTTCAAGATGGCAGAAGCAGAGTATTAAGCCAAGTTCAGATCTCTTCTGGGTGTGGGACCCGGTGCACCTGCAGAGGTCACACATCCACGAAGCTGGCCCTGAGGGTCAGAAAGAGGTGGAAATGACCTGGGGACCACAAGAAACTAGAGTGGATTTCATGAAGAGTGAATTTCTCCCATCACAAAAGGGAAAGTAGGAGGAGATGGGATTAAAAAGAAAGGCAGGTATCAGATTTGCAGAACCCTGTGGGTCATTGTAAGGGATTTGGATTGGGGAGAAAGACAGTATTAATATTTACATGATCAAAGTTAGAAATTTAGGGAACCGTATAAAAAGTTGATGTCAAAATAGGAAAAATCTTAGAGCAAGTATATGTTAAAGATGTATAAAATGACTACATATTCAAAAATTTATAAAGTAAGCAAAGATGTATAGTATTACAAAGATGGAAAATATGTATAATATTTTTCTTGGTCTTAAATATAGTAATCCCTAATGATTTTGCAAAATACCCACAGAATTTGAAATCTACCTCTCTTCCCTGTCAGTCATTGGCCAGTGGGGGCATGCTTGAGTAGCACTGATACACACTGATGGATTTCACTCTCCAAGTATCAGTTTAAATTAAAGTTGTAAATTACCTAAAGCCCTTCTTGTTATATAGTCTTCCCAGAGTTATTGTTCTTATATCTAAGATTACTGCTTGCCCTGCATTGTACAGGTTGGCCCCCTTTCTGCATTCATGCATTGGGAAGTCCTTTGCCCATTTCTGAAGTTTTCATAGTGATCTTAATCAGCAGCCTACTCATAAAATCATCTCTTATGATTGGTTATTTTCTGCATTTGATCCCACAACTTTTGATAAAATGATTAGAAATGCATGTAAGTTGAGACTTTGAAAGGCATAGCCTTGAATTTAATAGTAATGAATTACTTGATTTAACAGCTTTTCTTTCTTTTTCTTTTAAGTGAACTTTATTTATGGTGCATCCATCTTTTACTCAGCATTCCCTAAATGCATTTGATGTGTGCTTTAGAAAATGAACTCCAATGTAAAATTTTCAGTGCAATGATAATAAACACCACTTGAGTATTAAATGCATTAGACCTTTCCATACAGATCTTCATGTTTGCAATTCTCATAGCACATCTACATTTGTAACTAGAAAGTGCTCTAATTACATTAGTACTGACTTGATTTCTTTCCCCTTTAAGTTCCTTTTTTAGCTGAATCTCAACGTTTCTGTGTTAAAAGCTTTTTGAAGCTTATAAGCCTTATCTTAAACCCTCAGAGCTCCAGAAATAGTTCTTGGAACATATCAGCTTATTATCTATGGCAATGTTTGTCTTTAGATGTAGGAAGACTAATGGTGTATGAATTAGCTATCATAATTTATGAAGGTATTTTGTGAAATTGATAATTAAACATTTATATATAGTAATGAAGTGGAATTTTTCTCTTTCTGAGAAATAATTTTTTAACTCTTATTTTCCCTGATCATTCTGTACTCCAAATTTGTTCATTTAAGAATTAGTTCATTAGGCTCGAGTTTAAAACAGACATAGACTATATGTAATGCCTATCACCATTCTCTCTATTCATTTATATCCCACCTTTTCACAAAAAGAGCTCAATTCTTACTTTGTGTGTGAAATCTCCCCAAGCTCCTCTAGTTTCCCCTCACCAAAACGATGTTATTCTGTGATTTCTACTAATAGCCCCTACTTCACCAGTTAATATTTGAGTCTCTGTTATCTCGTATTGTTTTTCATGTGGTACTTTTGCCTCAAATGTCTTTTTAATTCCTTGAGGACTCTATTTTTTACTACGCTTGATAATTCTGGTCCATAAAAGCTAAATGAGCTCACATCTGCTGTTATAAATACTAATTATAGAATATTAAAACTAGAAAGGATCTAAGAGGTCATGTAACTCATTCTCATTTTAAAGAAAAAACAAAATCTTACAGAAGGTAATTTGTTCAAAGTTAGTGGCATAGATTTATGATTTAACTCCACTTTACAAATATATACACAATTTAGCACGTAAGTAAACACTGTTTTCTGTATGCTTGCTGGAGTATTATATTCAGTGGGGACCCTGTTCCATACCAGGCATGTTGGGACTGGAGATACAGAGAAAATATAATGAAGGAGAGAAGACCTCTATGTGGAGAGTTTCAACAAACGACTGTAATATTTTTTTAAAATGATTAAGCTTATTGATCAAGATAACAGTCAGAATGCTTTCTTTTTACCTGTGCACTCCATGTTTGAATTTGCGGATTATCACTTATTTTAAAAATAGCTACATTTCATATTATTTTCATTTAGTTTTACAATGAAAATTACCCTAATTGGGTCTTTTTAAAAAATCACCTATATTTGATGTCACAAATAACCTAAATTGAATTAAAATTAGAAACATTTTTGTATGTTAGAACACGCGATAGTCCTTTAAATGAGAGGGTGAATGTTACATATGATTTATAGGAGTTTTTGCAGTTGCTTTCAGGGTTGGATAGGGTTAAATACGGTGGGGAATGGAAAATGGTTGGAACTGCTGCTGGGGGCAAGCATGAGTCACTAGGAATTGAGTAAACTGACTGCTACACTGCCACAGAGTGCAGCTGAGGTTAATTGGCAAGGGTTTGCAGTCTGTGACTCCGTCATGGCTCAGCTGCTTTGGAATTAAAAGGTGGTACGTATAGTTGACGTCCAAGGGGGTAAATGGTTCAAAGGGGTGATACCGGAATGGACTTGAGCTACCCCCATGCTGAAGAAATCCCAAAGGGGGTTGAGGGGCTAGAGATCGAGATCATGGGGGCAAGAATGGGTTTACCCATATTTAAAAAGCAGGAGCAAGGGTCAGAAGGTTCGTCAGTGAACGATTTCTCCAAGATAGAGATTTGGGACTGAAAGATGTGTTGAGTTATGATGAGACCTAAGGCATGGCCATATCCCAGTGTGTGATTGAAGTGGGGCATGAAAGGTTATAGAGATGAGATGGACCTTAGAAGATCGCCAGTCTCTA